CATTCTAGCGATAAAGAACTAGAATTTACTGAAGAGTAGACAAAATGTCTTCACGGTCAGAGGGCGAAGCACTTCCGGTAGAAAAGACAGTACGCGCTACAAAAGAATTAAAACAATACATTACAGATGCTTCTATCTGCAAAAACAAAAATTGACTACGAGGTTCAATCCATAGTAGTTTGAAATAAAACAGAAAACAGAAATTTAAGAAGACCAAAAGTTTTAATATCATTAAACTTAGAAATTTTACATCTATCGTTACTCAGAATAAGACTTTCAGGGTAGCCATTTGCAAGAAAAATGCCGGTGATTTGCCCGAGTTCAGCCTTCAATTTACATTCCGAGCATATCACGAGTAAGTGTTTTGATAAGGCTTTCCCAGATTTGGTGGCAAAAGAATATAAGATATAACCCTGTAAAAATCGGCTTTCCGTATACGCTGGGGAAGTTTTCTCGACTAACACGTCTAAGAAAGGCAACATATTATTATTTTCTTTTTCCATCATTAATTATAAGCAGGGGGGGGAGATTGTTTACATATTGAAAGGATCTATTCGTCTCGCTATGTGATGTAAATGAAGCAAAGGTAAAATCAACGTAACGTATGGTTTGGGAAGCTTAGCACACATTACTTTCTCCTGGAACCCTACGAAAATATTAGCCATAAGAGACCCCATCTCCATCAGCTCAGCAAAAACGTTCTCGGGAAAGGAATGTTTTAAGAGGCCTGGATATAAATAGTCGGCACGAATGTCAATAGTTTCACCTAAGGTTTTGCGATGTCAACGAATACTCGTTGTCACTGTTGTACTGCTCATTGTAGTAGAGACTTTGTAATCGCAGATACAACTATAGTAATGCCGTTGAACAATACTGGTGTTAGACGCCTGGTCTCGCATTAATAGTACTTGCTCGATAATACTCGCTCGAATAGTAATCCGTATAGTGATCCGAATAGAGAGATAGTATAGAGTAGAGAATAGCGATCCGTATATTAATAGAGGATAGACTAGAAATAGCGATCCGAATAGTAATAGAGGATAGAGTAGGTGCTTTTATTTGTTTTTTTTTTATGCAATTTCTCATGCGATCTAATAATTCTTTTTTTGTTTTCAGATGATAAATTATATAAAAAATGTTCTTTTTATCCGAGCGCTTTCGGCTATACATTTAGCCATTTTCAAGGATTAAATATTTCAACTGTTAAATAAGAAATAGTTTGTTGTATGTATGTTTTATAAAATGTTTTCATTTTTCCAAAACACGGTCAAGATATTGTGTCCATGTTCAAAGTTAATATTATTAAGTGTTGTTTTTATTAAAGCTTCCATTATTTTTAACCCTTTTTTTTGCATGTAGATGATGCTATTATATTAGTGTTATCAACAAGTATGTTACGAATAGTGTCCGGTAGGTCTCCATGAATATTTAAATGAGATCTAATTGAGCTATTGTCAGAAAGGTGTAGATAATATTTGCCCGATTTAATTTTGTTCTAAGAGGTAAATTATTGTCTTTAAGTATAAGGTTAGAGGTTTTAAATTTTTTGTAATAAATAATTAATCTATTTTTTTTACTATTGCTAACTGGTGTTAGGCATTTTTTTTATAAAAACAGTATAGATAGATAGATATCAGGCTAGATCGATATAAAAAAAAACGCATAGAAAGATATATAGTTAGATCGATATAAAAACAACATAGATAGATATCAGAAAAGTGCATGAAAGAATGCTGCCTAAATAAACATATATATATATATATATATATATATATATATATATATATATATATATATATATAGGCAGTTAGGCAGTTCCACTGTAGATTTTTTTAACTTCCGACTAAATTTTTTTCATATCAGAATGAGCTTTCTAAAGGTAATTTATTCTACCGATCCGACCACTTTCGGGTCTTACTGCAGCCGTTATCAAGAATTGCGTGTTATTGTTTTCGCCTGATATTAGAAATTGGATTTTGGCAAATTCCACCATTTCATAGCGTGCTGAAACCAAATTTCAAATCACTTGAAGTTGATGTCATCTACAACTGTCAAACAGGATTTATACGTATATTTCACACACAGACCCTCCACGCGCACACTATTGAGGACGCTTGCTCAGGCTGTGTTTTATCTGTGTTTATTATTATTATTATTATATATATATATATATATATATATATATATATATATGTGTGTGTGTGTGTGTGTGTGTGTGTGTGTGTGTGTGTGTAAAAGTCATCCACAGACAGACATTTCGCAGCTCTTCAGTGTGGCTAGACATCCAGTTGCCTCTAGCTAGGATCGAAACCCGACCGAATTGGGGTCAGTCGGAGATTCTACCAGCCGTCGGGATGAAGGTGAATTTTTAGCGTATTTATTTTTTAGATAAACACACACAGTGATCGACAGTGACTCAATTCGCTTTTGCCGAAGAGTCTCGCTATATCAGCCATAATAGTCACTGTTTACAAACCCACACCTCTTCCCCAGAGAGCTCAACTGAAATTAATTTTTTCAGGGGCCAATATAAAGTCATCCACATACATACTGTTTCGCTGTTTCACAGCTCATCAGTGTGGCTAGACATATGATTTTTCATATAGCAATTGTATTTAATGCGATATTTAAATAAATATAGAGGAAAATCCTGTATATGTAGATATTGAGAATTAAAATACTATTTATTATAATGGCTGGCTACTCTCGTTTGTAGGGCCCATTTGTCTGAGAAGGCGGCTACTCAATGTCTGTCGATGACACCATCTTACCCGCAATTTTTGCTACTTCAACACCTGTAGATTATACTTTGATGGGCAGGCTTTTAGTTACAGTTTTCTAGAGAGAGCGTATCATATGTCATAATCTGCTGTTGGAGCAAGGATTGTACGCTCAAATACTCGGTCACAATGACTTGTGAACTCATGCCAGCACAACTACGAACGGCATTTGAACAGTTCCGTCTAGTTATTAGACCATATAATATATAAATACACACACACACACACACACACACACATATATATATATATATATATATATATATATATATATATATATATATATATATATTGATTGGTTGATTGCGACGAATTGTCAGATGATTGCCACTCCTCCACTGAGTGAAAGTCCGTGAGCCTGTTGATGACTTATCAGTCCTGTCAGTGACTTGCATTTCAATATATATAATAAAAGCTGGCCACTCGTATTTGAGGATACTTGTGTATTAGGGCGGCTAGCCAATCCATGTTGCAGACCTTCGCTCAGGCACATCTGTGTTTATTCAACACCCACAGGGCCCACCTGTGGTTCATACTGCAACGATGTTGAGCGGACCTTAGTTGCAGTTCCTGGGAAAGAGCGTGTTATCTAGCGTGATCAACAACCTGAACAAGGCCATCACGCTCAAAATAGAGGCGCCCTAGCGTTCCGTCTACTCACAAGGCTTGGATATGTTTTACAGACACTTTCCAAGAATGCCGCGCACTGAGACAGCCACCCCCTGAACGATATATGTCACATTCCTAACAAAGCGACCATGGTGAAATTTGAACCCGGATCTCATGGTCAGAAAGCGAACAGCAACGCGCCTATATATATATATATATATATATATATATATATATATATATATATATATATATATATATATATATATATATATATATATATATATATATGGGGGTGAACAATTTGAATTTCACTACTTAAACAAAAGGTTCATGGTAATAATAGATAGATATATGAACAGACTGATATATATATATATATATATATATATATAGAGAGATATATATATATATAGAGAGAGATGGGGGATGAAGATGAACAGAATGGGATAGATAGATAGATAGATAGATAGATAGATAGATAGATAGATAGATAGATAGATAGATATGAATAGACTGGGATAGATAGATAGATAGATAGATAGATAGATAGATAGATAGATAGATAGATAGATAGATAGATAGATAAGAATTTATGCTGAAAATTTATCAGCTAGGTCTACTTGCCAATCTTAAAAAAAATAACATTCCATAGATAGCAGGCTAGATATAATACTGCAAAAAGAAATATGAATACGTAGATATTACATAGATAGACACATATTTACGTATGAAGGGGTGCTGAAATGTTCTCAGCACAGGCTACCGTAAAATATTAAATAGTCACTTTATAGATATCAGACTAGATCGATATAAAAACAGCATCGATAGATAGATAGATAGATAGATAGATAGATAGATAGAAGTCGACGGAGAGAGTCAAGTATATACATATAAGATCGATATAAGCTGTGCTGAAATGTTTCCAGCCAGGGCTACTGTCGAATATTAGATAGCCATTTCATTGATAGCAGGCTAGATACGTATAAAAACCAGATAGATAGATA